TTGTTCATGGAAATGAGCTTTTATGATTGTTATTTATCTCACTTATCGCAATTTACAGCAAAGGCGTTGTCTCGGTCTGATAACAGTCTTTTTTAATCCTTTTTCACATACCGCAACTATTTGGCGGTCACTTTAATCCGGCACCTCTGAGGTTGTCTTTCCGTCCATGTAATTTTCTTAAGCTCATTTTACCTTGAATGCGGTTAAAGCTGTCACCTAACATCCGTTATTATATAGTTCATTTCTTCTCGCTTAATCATGCCGCCTAAGAAGTGTACTGCTGGCCCTGGAAGAGGCCGCGCAAGCTGCAATAGTACAAGATACCCAGTCTACTGCAGTCCCAGGGATGGTCCAGTTAAATCTCCAGGCGCTCACCAGCACAATTGCCGCTGCTGTCTCCGCGGCCGTGAAGGACGCTATGGCCACGCAGCATCAAGCGAGTGTCCCCGCCAGCACTACCACAGCACGTGGTCAGGTTGACCATCTGGTGAACGAGGAGATTTCAAACCTCACTCAACCCACAGGTACGCAAGGTGCGGATCCACCATTTTCTCCCTTGAGTGTTGGGGATGAACCCAGCCAGCTTTTTACCAGCATTGGCGTAGATTTAGGTGCTAGAGTTAGCTCAAAAATTTGGGCTCACGAATACATAAATGCAATGCAAAACATCCGGCAAGTCAATGTCAGGTCTCCTCAACCCACCAGCGCCCCAAAGTCGGAAAATCCGGATCACAACTTACTAATCCAAGTGTTGGACAGCCAGCCAGTCACGCCCGTAAAAACGGAGCGGTTTGAGAATTTATTGGCCGGTTATAGCCCAGCCCTAAAAACACTATTAGTTGACGGTTTTCGGAACGGTTTTCGAATTTCTTACATCGGCGAATTATCTTCTTTTGAATCTCCTAATTTGCAAAGTGCCCTGTAGAATCCGGAAATTGTTTCCGCAAAATTAATGAAGGAAATCGAAGCTGGTAGGGTTGTGGGACCTTTCAAGGCTCTTAATGAATTTAGATTAATTTACCATTCATCATACCCAAAAGGTTCGTCTGTAAATGATTCCATTCCTGACGAATGTTCATCAGTCCATTATGCTACTATTAGTGATGCCATTCATATTTTAAAGAAATTAGGTGCGGGTTCCTTTTTGGCTAAAACGGATATTAAGTCCGCATTTCGCATAATTCCTGTTCACCCGTTGGAGCACTCGTTACTCGGTATCAAATGGGCAAATGTATATTATTTTGATCGTTGTCTCGCTATGGGACTAGGGTCTAGCTGCGCGATTTTCGAAAAGTTCAGTTCTTCTTTAGAGTGGCTCGCCATGCAACACTTACATGTCTCTGCCGTTTTGCATATTTTAGACGACTTTTTGTTTATTGCGCCAAGTAGAGTTAAATGCGGTGAAGACCTTCATAAGCTTCTCGATATGTGCAACTTTCTTGGAGTCCCAATGGCCTAGGACAAAACAGTGGAACCGAATACCACTTTATAGTTTGCTGATGTAGAGCTCGATCCTGTGCGGCAGGAGGCCAGGTTTCCGTCAGACAAGCTTACCAAATGTCGTACCTTACCACATCACTTTCACAAGAAACGCTCCGTCGCTGTGCGCGAACTGCAGTCTCTAATTGGCCTGTTAAACTTCTGTTCTGTTGTCATCCCAGGCGGCGCTTTTTTACGCCGCTTAATTTACCTTACCAGCGGTCTAACAAGCCCTTATCACCACATCCGTTTACACAGAGAATTAGAATCTAAACATGACATCCGTATGTGGTTAACATTTCTAGATAATTTTAATGGAAGGGCATTTATTCCGTCGGACCGCTGGGAAACTTCCTCTACACTTGAATTATATACAGATGCCGCGGCATCTAAAGGTTATGGCGCGGTATTTGGTAAGCATTGGTTTGGCGGCGCCTCTCCGGATGCATGGCACAGTTTCAACATTACTTTCCTCGAGCTTTTTCCCATTGTTTTAGCTGCCCACATATGGGGGTCTAGTATGACCAATCGCTGCGTGCTATTTTTCACAGATAATGCTGCCCTAGTAGANTTGGTGGAGCACAGAGCTCCACCAACATGGCGGCTCCATACTGGGCTCTGTAAATTTGCGCAAAACATTTCGACGAATATCTGAAGTTTGGGAAAACGCTGAGACCCAAAAATTGGAGAAGTTTCTCCTTTACCTGTCTCCTATAATATTAAAATTTCTCGACTTTATCCACTGAATAGTGTTCGATTTATTTTTTCGTTGCGTGACAGTGAAAACCATCTATTGTCAAAACTCGACGGTGACGTACGTCAGGCACGGGCTGTTACTGATCCGTCCATATTATTCTACTTTCTCTACTATAACTCGGTTTTTCAGTTCGCGAGCTATGCAGAGGTGTCTTGGTGGGGCTGCCACATTGTTGTGGCTTTTGGCGCCTTTTTCGCCGCACCTTTGCTGAAAATGATAATTTAATTACCATAGACATTGTTAACAATTAACTTTTATTTGAGTTCCTATTAAAACCGCCACAGTATAAGTGGCCAAGAAATGAAGCTCTTGCGTTGTGACAACGTCATCAGCGTCACTTATTCTCTTTGCTCTACCACAGTTCCTGCGCTTTTTGGGAAGACATTAAAGAGGCTGTGAACAGGTCCTGGCTAGAGTGACGGTTGAAGAAGAAGACATGCATAATTTAGAATTACACGTAAATTGAAGGTCCGGTCCTCGTAATGTAGTACCGGGATAGTTTGTACAGTCAGCTATTAGGCTCTTGCAACAAATCCTGTAGTTTATTTGACAAAATAAAGCAACACTTTGGTTTTTCTAATCGGAATGTGCTGTATGACCGGTCTGTCTCTGCAACGTCTGTGTAGAACCAACCAAAGAGGTTGGTTTTTCGGGTCCTCGTAAACCAGTGTGTGTATGTCACCAAATTTTAGGAATGGTGTTGTCCTCGATATCACAGTAAAATTTGAATGGTTAGTGTGTAGTGTACAAGCAGACCCAAGAGTGACCCAGTAGCATACGTATTTTAGGTGGTCCCTGTAACGTCGGTTTCAGGGCGTGGTCCCCATAAAACACCTAAGGATAGTATTCACACACACACACACACACAAATCCAAATTACTCTAAACAGAACTGGCTTGATTTACTTGATTTTATTTTAGTGAATCCAAAGTATATTGATTTATATTATTCAGAGCTGTTATGTACAAATAAAGTTAGATCCCAAGTTGTTCTCTTGTGTTAGTGACAGATGCGATCAGATCATTGATTTGAAAAAATAGCTGTATATTTTGAGGGTTATAGCAGTGTCATCTCTTTTCCCTTTGAGATAATGTATAATTTAGAGTGAAAATTTTCCATGCATGCAACCTTGACAAATGGATGACACATTGTCATGGAATCTTGACTTTGTCACTGTCCAAAATCTCTCTTTGCCAGTATAATTCTCTGTCAACTTTACATACATGCAAAGATACTAAGTCTATAATCTAATGGTACAGTCAATCAAGCAAGCATACATTTCATTAAAAATCATTATAAAGCATCTGTCTCTGTAATATGAGAGAAAGTTAAACTTTAAACATAACCTCAAAAAAAGAAACAAAAATGAAGCAAATAACAAAATCAAATCAGCATTGTATATAAAATGGGCTTCCTCTTTCAGTATAGTAGATATTTATGCATCTGTTATCATAAAAATATAAGAAAATGTTGTAATGTATTTAAATAGTTCATATTGTTTAAGTGTCCTTTACCATATAAATATATTAAGAGTACTGTGCAGAAACATGTTTAGGATCATGTTTGCCATTTTTAGGTACACAAACATTTTATAAATAGGTAACGTCTCAGAAGACAACATTGCCTCCCTTTAAATAAAATTATACATGTTCATATTCCAATGTTGGGCAATAATATGAGAAATCACATCTGGAGGGTGCAAGATAATTTTATGTAAGACTTATTCCACTTAAAGTCATAGCCCAGGGTTCCCTCTAGTTTTGATAGTTATGGGTCCTTGGGACTCCAGTTCCAAAGAGTTGAAGGTTCTTTTTGTTTTCCAGGGGTCCTATGCCTATTACTAAAATTTTCAGAACTTTTTTTTCCTGCATCCCAAGGATGCACTTAGCCAAAAAACTGTGGCCCTTTTCATTTTGTGTACGTGTACACCTGTACGTTGATGGGAACTCTAATAGCACTGAACACTGTTAAGTTTGTTTCAGACTAAGATATGACTCTATCATTTTGTTTAATATACTGTGTGATAAGTATTTAATATTTCATTTTATTTCTTCAAATCAAGCAATATATGTTATATATATAAATATGCACATGAATGCATGTAACTTAATGCATGAATTTAGCAGGGGGTGGGGGGAATGGCTTTTGTCCTTAAAGTATAAATGTCATATCATATGACAAGTAACTCGACTATGGAAAAGAGTCAAGCTGTCAATATTACTACAACTCTTTAGAGTTGTATGCATGGTAGCTTGTATCGAAAATGAGAGATATAACAATAACAATATAACAATAAATAACCAGAGCCAATAACTAATAACCATTATATTTTAGCAGGGGTGGGGGGAATGGCTTTTGTCCTTAAAGTATAAACGTCATATGGTGTGACAAGTAGCTCAACTATGGAAAAGTGTCAAGCTGTCAATATTACTACAACTCTCTAGAGTTGTATGCAAGGTAGCTTGTATCGAAAATGAGAGATACAACAATAAATAACCATAACAATGTAGAGCAATTTCTTTCAAAGCAACTTATGCACAATCTTTTGCTGTAGGACTCCCTTAATTAAGGGTCTATTTTTACCATCCTCAACACTTTTGTTTAGAACCAAGTTATTTTTACATAATCCTCAACATATTTCTCCCATTTCCTTGGAGAAGATGGGGGGGAGGGGGCAGGGGGAGAAAGGGCAGGGGGAGAGGAGGCAGGGGGGAGAGAACCTGGTAATAAAAACGGGGGGGGGGGAACTCTACAAGAACCAAGAAAAGAGAGGATGGGAAGTGATAGTAACTGAGAACATTGCTTTATATTTTGCTAGGAGAGAAAGGTAGGAGTATTAAAAATCTGAGAACTCTCTGTACTACAATCTTTCCACCAAACTGACAATTTCTCAACATCACTTAGTAGCCCAGTTAGTCACATTTTACAATACATTTCCCATAAGTTAATAATCAAACCCTTCTCTAATTCAACCTTCACCTATCTAGTGACTTTTTTGCTTTAACAGGGCTACCAAAAAGTTCTTTCTCGACCTCCTCGCAGGATGAAATCTTCCGTTTCACAGCTTCAGATTCCTTTCTCAACTTCACACATTGCTGCGAGAGGGTTTTGTGTTTCTCTGTTGCTTGTACAATGTCCTTCTGGAGTTGATCAATTTCTGCAAACAATCTCAGCTTTTCCTCTTCCTTCTGCTGCAGTGCAAGTTTAGAGTTTCTAATCTTGGCCTCCAGGTTTCTCTTTTCTGTTTCAGTCTGGCAGATCTCTGTGTTAAAAGCTGTCATTTTCCTACCAAACTCACTCTTAATCAGCTCCACAATTTGAAATTTCATTGTGGGGTTGAATTCACTTCCTTGGGTCAAGAGAAAATCAAAAAAAGCGCCATTCCCAGAGGACGATGCTGCAGTGTTCTCCTGTACTGCTGGTTCCTCTCCTGCACCATCAACAGTGACATGACCTTCCTGTGTTTCATTTGATGTTGTGGAGTCCAGATCTTCATGTAAAGGTGATCGGCTATTATCAGCAGGCTCTGATGTGACACAGGTAGCAGTTGAGGAAGCAGTGGCTTCTTCTGCTTTACGCTCTGGCATCCAAGAATCTGGAGTTGATGGTGATGTCCCAATGGCATTCTCCATATCTAAATTGCTTTGAGATAATGGAGAAACACAGCGAGAAGAGAATGTTGTAGCTTCAACCTCTTGCTTTGTTGCTTCAGGTGGGGATGATTCAATGGACATTGTTTCTGTCATTGCTGCTGGAAAATTAGGTAGGAAAACTGGGTATGGATCATCACTTGACGAGCCTCCTGTTGGAAAGTCTGGAGTGCCAGTCATTTGGGCTGGTGCTCCAGCTGCCGAAACAGAAACAGATGCACTCTGATTGTAACTAGAAGAATTGACATCATTTCTTTCTAATGAAAATTGCAAACTTGCTGAATGTTTTGACTTGCCATTGAACATCACAGCATCTGAGGACACCCCATTGTGATGAGTGGATGAAGCTGGGCTACCTGTGCCAACCCATTGAGATGTGGAAGGTGTGCATTTTGCTGTGTTACGCAGTGCGTGAATGACAGACTCTAGACTCTTGACAGAAGAGCTATGCTGCATTACCTTTGAAGGAGATCCATCAATGTGTCCAGCTTGACTCCATACAGCTTCAACAGCTATACCTGTATTGTGGTCGTCACTTGCAAAGATGGCTGATCTCGGAATCACAGCAGAAACTGAGGCTTCCAGGTTTTGTGGAAGATCACATTTCAGGGGTGGAGAATTACCAGTAGCATCTGAAATGAGCACTTGGTTAGTATTAACACACTGTCTAACCCTGCCAACCTCATCAAAGCTACTGTTCAACTGAGTCCAGTTTCTATTTTATAATTATTATTAGATTAAACAAGTTTGGGATTTCTACTCAACTGTATTAGGTTATGAGCTTGAGACTTCTATTACATGATGCTCGACAAGGGTGCAGTCCGAGTCAACTATCATGTATAGAAATCAAGAAAGAATGATATTATTGTTTTAGTATAAATCTACAAGTTGTTAAAAACTTAATCTAAATACCCTTCACAGACACTTCGAAGATGCAAAAAAGTTGCTGAAAGTTTGTTTACAGGTGCACACAGCTAGGCTACTCACTATGCAGTAAGCAATTAGATTATGAGCTGGAGATTTCTATCACGCATAGAAATCAAGAGCGAATAATCTGATTGTTATAGTATAAATCTACTAGTCGTTCAAAACTTTATCTAAATCCTCTTCACAGACACTTCGAAAACACCAAGAAGCAACTGTATTTTGTTAACAAGGGCACACTGCTACGCTACTCACTATCTATCATAAAATAGATAGTGAGTAGTGTAGCCAATCAGATAACGGCATTTGTGATAGAATGCTAGTAGATTTATACTAAAACAAAATGGATCGTGAGTGGTGTAGGCAATCAGAGAACGGCATTTGTGATTGAATGCTAGTAGATTTATACTAAAACAAAGTGGATCGTGAGTGGTGTAGGCAATCAGAGAACGGCATTTGTGATTGAATGCTAGTAGATTTATACTCAGAGGTAATGGTTGATGCGGCCAAAAGATTATCTAGTGCTAATGCTGTGTTCTGCTTTCACACACCACAAGGCAAGCACAAACAAAAAGAGCAAGTTCCAGGAAAGGGAAAATGTTGATCCCTGTATTCGTGCTTGTATCCTTTGTCTAGTATATTAATTTTGCTGTTCATAAATAACTCAGAATTCAATTTTTTAAAGAAAATTATTTGCCATCACATTCCCATACAAACACTGTAATTTCTGATGTGTCTTGCCTATCTGTCAAGGTGGCTTCCAAAACTTTGATAAGGTCTGTATGTTTTAAAAAAATTTCAAATTTTAACCAGAGCTCTATGTATTCACGTTCTGACAGGTTGACAAGAGTGTGTAAAATAATTATATTGTTTTCTCTACATGTTTGGATCGAAGTCTTTTAGTATATAACATAAAAGAAGTTTTCAACATTATTGAAATCTTCTTTTCATAGGCACGCTGGTGGATAAAAAAGCGAACTCAGCTTGACTACAGTGTCCATAGGCAAAGCTTCTTTGACAAGGCAATGTTCAATACAAACAAAGAATTTTATGTATATGCTTTCAATTACCTCTCAATTTTTCCACTCCATTATTATCAGCGTCACTTGGGTAAAATAACTTCCTTGCCAAAAACTCGTTGAAGGTCGAGAGTATTTCAAACGCCGTTTTCGAATGCTTGTTCTTTTTCAAAGGAAAATCGCTGTCCACGAAGTTTTTCATGACGTTTTGAATGGACTCCCAACCGGGAAGAGAAGGGCTCCTTGCGAGAATGTGCAAAATGGTGTTTCCCTCGTTATCTTGCGCTGCAACAGTGTCCATCACTTGAGTGTGAGTAAGTAAAGAGTTGCATTTGAGTTCAAGAAGATGGCCTAACATTACCTCTAAACACCGTTGAAAGTATCTCGTTCTTTTCATGGGATCGCAGCGGCCATCAACGCGAGCATGTCGACCCGAGTTTATAACACTTTCAGCGGCGATGTGTAAAGGGGTACGACCATACAACTTCTCCTTTACAGAGAATATATTACGATCCCGGGAACAGAGAATGCTCACTACGTTTTCAAAGACTTCTAATCTCTTGTCAATCGCCATAAAACCACCGCATTGTTTCATATTTCCCACCCGATAGAAGTGATCGACCAGTCCATGGAGTCCATTCGCGCCATCTTGTGTTACTACAGAAGGGTCGAAATCCAACTTAACTAAAGTTTCTAGAACTCGGTGCTTCCCGAATGCACAAGTTAAGTACAGAAGGGGATGCCTCAGGTCTGGTGAACTGTCCGGAACAATGCTGTTTTTGTCCCATCCATTTTGTTCATACAGCTGAACACACTGTCTTAAGAGAACGTGCGATTTCGAAGAACAGCGCGAAGAGGTTTCTTTTCTGTTCCTCTCAATGCATAGAGCTTTGATCAAGTCATGGTGAACGAAGGCGCAGTCTTTACGGCAAAACGGCGTATGACACTTTGTTTCGTCGTTCATGACAAAAAAAAAAAATAAGGCAAAGATGGTCACCACCTTGCTACACTCCACAATAAACATACATGCCCCAAATCAAGTGACAGAAGACGACCCCCCAAGGGTATCCCCCTAAGTGGCCAACGGAAGTGCTTTGTGAGAGTCACAGAAAATGACCCGTGATGTTCAACCACTTGAAGGAAAGTGCCCTTACAAGAACAGTCCTGTCACTAACATGGACAGTATATCAATCACTCCTGATCAGGGCGGTGATCAGATTTGCCAAGATGAAAAATACTTAGCAAAAAGAGAGGCCTAGGTACATTTAAATGAAGCCAGGAGAATTATTGCCCTCCTTAACCTGTCCCCACCTCCCTTCCCCTAAAAGAGTAAAATGTGTCTTCTGGTACAAAAACTCTTGATAATAAGCTGGTTGTTATCAATGTTGTCTATGTATGTATGGGAAACTCATATGATGACTCCCGGTAGCTTAACTACAGTTGAGTGCACATTGACATAATTGTTTGGGTGCACGACCATGCAACAATAATTATTAGTTTTCATGCAGAATCATCTACTCGACTGACTCTGAGAATGTTGAAGTACACGTGGACTGAATAAAAAAAGAACTATGGTCAGGTTTCATCACTGTCCCCCACTCCTAAACGAGGAACAAGAGTTCCCAAGACAGCTAACAAAATAGTCAAAATTTGCTTTCTGATGCTTCCAGTTATCTGCCATAAATTATTTTAATACTCCATACACAAGTATTAATCCTTTATACTGTACTAAATTTCTCAGATGTACAACTGTTTTTGGTCATCTCTAGCACCATGTAGAAAGTTATTGAAAGTGGTGTCACTTGACCCCAAAATGTTTTCATTAAAATATTTAACTATACTCCAGTCCCTGAGGGAACAAGAGGAGGTACAGAAAGGAGACTTATTTTTGACAACAGAAATTTTCATTGGTTTGATCATTTGTTGGGACCAGACTGTTTTGAAAACTATGCACAACTGATGATATAATTAAGGCTTTATTAGCAAGTTCTATGGAAAATTACACAGCATGATTACTATAATTGCAGAATGACGAGGGTCAGAAGGCAAACTCATCATCAAGGAAAATAATAATAATTAGTGTCAAACATGAACGACAAAAGGCTACTACGTATTACAAGTAACATAAATCAATTAAACCCTTCAGCCCAAACATGCTCAGTACTGGGTAAGATAGACTGTGCCACAGTAAAAGTTATTTAAGAGAATGTACTAATTTATCAAACATCCTTTATGACAAGTTGTGTTCTTCTCCTAACTTACATTCCTAACATCGAGTTGATACATAAGGAGAAATTTAATATTGGTCAATGTTTGGTTTGAAAGAGTTGATAAAATGTTATGTAAGGCAATATGCATTTAAACTTTTGTACATCTTAACCAAATGAGACATGCAGAGATAATATTTTCTTACAATTCTATTGTATTATAACCTACTTTTCCTTTTTCTTGCCCATTTAGTGTCACTTAATTGTCAGGCCCAGCCAACGATTTAGGATATACAGTATCTGCAGCTGTTTAACTCAGGTCTATGGTATTTTTTTTTTGTCACAATTTGGGTATAAAGTATCTAGTTTTCCCTGAATTTTAGGTATTCGTTATATAGACATGAATTAAACTTGTAAGATAAATTAAGGGATTTAGTAGCACATATTTTATAATTTTGTAGTATTGGTATCTTATGAGGGGAAAAAATTGGGTATTTTGATGCCAAACTACACACCCCTCCCCTGAGCAGGCCTGAATCGTCTACTTCAACACTTATCTGAAAAGAATAAGCGACTATTGAAGTAATATGTCTGTCTCAAAATCTCAATTATAACATCTATCAGACTGTATTGACATAAAATATTAAATAATTCTCTTTAACACTTACACTGATCAGTTTTCTAAAATCTTCTACTCCATTTACAGATAAAAACCTTTTGGAAACAGTCTCTTTAAACATGGTAAAAATGTGGTTCTACATTCTGGGAAGAGTCAACAAATTTGGCAATCCACAAAGAACACAGTTACTGCCAACTCCTTTGAGAAATAAAACATTTCTTTCCACTGCATGGTGCCGTAAGCAACATAGCTAGGTTTCAAAAGAAATATGCAATTGTTCCTACAACACCTAACTAAAACTGGAAAATCAGTAATTATGGTTGCTTCCAGTACAACTATTAACATATGATAACTATTAACTGTTAACTATAGTTAAGAATCTTCAGTGTTCTTTATACACCATAACAACTCTTGTTTGACATAAGTAGATATAAGTTTGCTTATGTGGGAGTACTTTCCTTTATCTGTATTACATTTTCTTGATCAAAGGATCCACCTTAGACAATGTCAACCAATAACATGTGTGAAGGCATACTGTATTCCTGAGATCAATGCAGTTACTTTATGCCAATAAGGTTTTTGTTTCTAAGAACTTCAAGTACATAAAACCTACAATGGGTGACAAAAGTAGTTGAGACAGTTGGCTGAATTGAGTGCTAATTGCAACATTTCACTTATTCCGTTTCAACTTTGGTTTAAATTGAGAAGAGTACCCTCCCTCCCCATTTTCGATATTGTAGAGGAAAGAGGGACGTTTTAGGGTCAAGAAGGCCAACCTTGTTTTTGGGGAGGGGTTAGTATGGAAGGAGGGGGGGGGGGGGGGGAACATTTGTTGGAGGTACTCCAAAACAGCAAAGTGTCTCAACACCTTTTTTGCCCATTGTAAGTCACAAAAGCATTGACAAATAAAAAGCCCACATGCTGTGCTTACATGTTGTGAAGTGAGTCCAGTTTTAAACTAAAATCTTCAATAACATTCTCTTTAGTTACTATTTGCATAAAATCAAATTAATTAATTAAATAATTATTATCAGCATGGACACAGAAAATTTTAAGTATGCATGTAATATGCTTGACTAAAACTGAACAAATAATGAAAATGAAATTGCAAGCACATCATAACTTTATGATCATATGAGATCAAAATAAAAGTTCTCCTTCCTGGTGAGTAGACATTTCTCACAGTGCTACTTGGGAGAATTTTGAGACTTTCATTCACTAATGAACTCTTACTTACACATCAGAGTATTTCTGTGCATTACCATGCATGCCCTGACAAAAATTGACCCAGTGGTAACCGTGAGTAGTCACAAAAGTCAAGTTGTGTGTGCGTTTTTGTGTAGCCTGTTTCACTGTTATCAAATTTTGACCATTGGAGGCTATCTAGTGTTTTCAAGTGCTTCTCAGCGCTGTGTAAGAGATTCACCTGTTCAAGATCAGTTTTCCATAATCCCTTAAGATCAGTATGAGATGACAAAAGGTGAAGGAACATGCACCACGTCCAGTAGTAAAGAGTGAGGCAATTTTCTTGTAAAAAATTCCTTATTTGATAACATGTATATCAGGGGCGTTTTAAAAGATGGAGGTTTACATTCTTGTTACCACAGAAACAAGTTGGATGAACTGTTCAAATGATGGCACAATTTTACTTTTACTTGATTTGGACATTGTCCCATTATTCAAATAAGTTTGAATTAGAGGGACATATGACTTAGACAAAACCTTGTTCCCAGAGGAGACATTTTTTCACAACAGATATCATTCACCAGCATTGTTGCATCATCATTCATGTCATGCATCTTGTTTTTATGATAACCCATAATATAGACTAACTAAACTACAAGGTCTTTTGTCACATGAATGTAAACTTATTATAATCTATGCATATCTCCCTTTCACATTCCTGTATCTTGCTCAGAGCTGTCACTGTCCTGGGTTTTACTCTTTTTGGTTGGGGGTTCTGGATCTGCACCTAGGAGAACAGCCAAGTTCTTTCCCAGTTCTTCTTCCTCTTTTGAAAACTGCTCGAGGCTGTTTTCTAATGCTTGGATGGCTTGATTCTTGTGCCACATTTCCTTCTGCAACTCTTGCAGCTCCCTTTCCAACTTTTGCATTTCTTCCCTTTTCTTTGCCATCACCTCTGCCAGTTCCTCAGTCTTTGACCTGTGTTTGAGGATGTCTTCTTCCACTTCTCGCCTTCCCTTCACAGCCAATTCCAACCTCTCTGTATAGTCTTCTCTCAAGGCTTCAATGATCTTGCGTTTGGTGGTAGGTCTCAAGGTGGCATGTCCAGGGTTTGCCACCACCGGAGTCAACACAGAATCAAGGAGATCACCTGTGTTGGAAGCAGATGTTGGTGAAACTAAAGCTGAATTCACTTGCATGGGTGTGACTGTAGAGGGTGTAGTAGTGGACTCCTGCACTATAACACTCACTGACGATGTGTTAGATGTAGATGGCGAAACCTGTGTCAAATTGACCTCTGAAGATGGCTGGGGTGACTCTGGTTTTGAAGGCTGTGCATCTATTATAAGTTAAAGTGAAAGAATTTGTTAGCCTTAGGATGACTGCAACACCGCAACTTAACCCTATATAGAGATGAAATTACATCATTACGAAGGATATGGATTTCTCTTTGAGTGCTGATGGTATCTTTCATACGTGAGCACAGGAAAATGAGTGAGAGACTTGAATGATGTCAAAAGATAAAACAACAATCAAATGCTGAGATATCATTGGCTTACATGTCTATAACCATGATGACATTGATATCCTCACATGCTGTTTTAGTTTATAGTCTAATTTTTTTTCCTGCATTAACTACTGATGAGCAAATGAAATCTTGTATGTTGATGCATCATTTAAAGTGCCTATGAGGTAAAAAATAATTGCTGCTGATTTGAAAGGTTTTTCAGAGTAAAGAAGAATGGCATTTTCCTTTTTGGAATATCTTTTTTCGTTTTAGAGATATTCATGTTTTTGTATTTTGAGTGATGATGTCATAGGTGGTTCCACAAAAAAACAGCTCAACACTCAATCAAGAATATCTCTAGAAATATTAGAGCAGTGCTCTTTAAACTTGGCTCCAGAAATGTACGTCACAAAAGAAACAAAATGACACCCATTGTGCCATCGCCATGACAACAGTTATGCCGCTGGTCCTGTTTTAATTAAAACTAAAATTCCCAGATTTTATCTTAAACAAAGATCATCCACTCCCAACAATCTAATGGGGAGAGTTAAGACAATATGGGAACCATGTGTGGTTCAAGCAAGACCCTCTGTCCCTTCTCAAAGGGTTGCAAATGGGCATATTTGGTTTTTCACAGAAAGGGACTGAAGCCAAAAGTGTTGCCATGGCAACAACACAGAAAGTGTCATTCTGTTTTATTTGTGATGTACATTTCTGGTGCCAAGTTTGAAGAACACTGCTCCAACATTTCTAGAGATATTCTTGATTCAGTGTTTTACTGTTCAAGTGGAACGATTTATGACGTCATCACTTTCCTCATTTGCATAATACAAAAACGTAAATATCTCTAGAACGAAAAAAGATATTCCAAAAAGGTAAACGCCATTCTTCTTTACTTTGAAAAGCCTTTCAAATAAGCAGCAATTATTTTTT